AGTACAAGCTTCCTAATTTTCTGAGAATTTTTCATATATTATTTTCTGCTTTTCGTCGAAAAAAAGGATTTTCTCGCGTAAACAGTTAAACTTTCTGCTTTAATATATAGATGAATAGCACTTTGACTTCGCTATCGATTTACATAATTTTAATCAGATTTTAACTGAATCTCACAAGTGAATTTTTGTGAAAAGTATTATTGGTTTTTGTATAACTACTTTTGATAGTCAAATTCAATAGAGAAAATTGAAAAATAATCGAATGAACCTGTATAATCGTACACAACTATGGCCTGACACATTGAAATAGAATGGATTGTAGTCTTGTTAACAGTTTCAACTGACCTACCTGGATGCAATCAGTGTTTTTCGCCTCGTGAATCCAAAAAGCAATAGAAATAACATGAGATTCGTGTTCAGCACAACAAACTGAATCTAACAGAGTACAATCAAAAATGTCATGTATCTCACTCTGGAAAAACACCACTTCAAGGCATAAGGTGAGACAACCTATACTTGATGTAAAAGTCGAACGAATCGCATGTGGTTCTAAACATTTGAATAAAAACTATTAACTAGAACTAAACACGTTTTCAAACATCTATTTCTAGATTACACTTGATTTCAATTGTTGAGGTATCAATCATATGAACATGGCATTTAACAATACAGGTAAAATTCTATATCGTACAGAAAACAAAATGAGTAAGTCAACGATCAGGTTTCGTTACGCCATACATATATGCCTTAAGTGATTGTAAGATCCATGTGATCTGCGACACGACTACTCACCCTCATCCACACCCTCATTATCAAGCTAACTTTGTTTTCCAAAAGGTTTACCATTCAATTCTACACAAGACGTCTAGTAAAGGCTTTTTCTGGAGAAATTTGACAAGATTAACGATTGAATTGAAATAAGAGAGGCATTTTGTAGCCTTCAATAACCTTTATCGATTCATGATCCATTCACTATCTTTGTGCTCATTCTTGCGATGTACATCAATCATTGTTTTTTTTCGGATTTATTACTCTAAACACAAATATTCTGATGTGTATTTTCGAAACGACTTGGAAAGTTGGTCTTGTTTTTTAGATGTTAGGTAGTTCTTTTGTGAAAACAAAAATTTAGCTTGATAAAATGATAACTAAAGGAGTGATAGTGAACATTCTGCGACCATATACCATTCTTTTTGCTGCACACGTTATCTATTCCAATCATATTTGTTTGTTACGATGATGATAAAATCTGGCCAGAAACATATTTGTCTTTCAGAAAGAATCAAAACATGACTTGTCCATCAGCTCTGATAGATTTAACGATCGTCAGAACACAACGTTATTTAAAACCGTTTTAGGATAAACATTGCTTCAAAGATATAGAGTCGCTGAACAAAAGTTGATTGAACTTGTATTACGGAATTTGTTTTCCGACATTTATATCTTTTTCATTCAACAAACTAAAAAACAATTCTAAATGACAGAAATCACGCAGTTTGTATACGTGCATGATTTACATACATTGTCTTCTTTCTGTTGTACGTAGTTCTCCCGAATATTTCTCCGAATGCCAGATGGATACAGAACGGTGTCACTGTTGCTGGAGGAAACGGAAATGGCAGTGCATCCAACCAACTATTCTCCCCTTGTGGCCTCTATGTCTATGACGATCAAACGATTTTGATCGTTGACTGCATGAATCATCGTATTGTGGAATGGAAGTCTGGTGCAAAGAGTGCTCAAGTAGTGGTGGCTGGTGGTAACGGGCAGGGAAATCGACCTGATCAGTTGAATGGACCAACAGATGTGACTGTCGATAAAGAAACAGACACTCTCATCATCTGCGATCGAGGGAATCGACGAGTGATGCGATGGTCTCGTCAAAATCGAATAAGTGGAGAAACGATCATCGACAATATCGCTTGTAATACATTGACGATGGACGATCAGAGATTTCTCTACGTCTCTGACGTCGAAAAGGATGAAGTAAGACGATATCGAATGGGAGAGACAAATGGAATAGTGGTGGTGGGTAGCAATGAAAAAGGTGATGGTCTCAATCAACTCAATTGGCCCACTTGTCTCTTTGCCGATAGAGAACAGTCTGTCAAAAAGCAATAGAAATAACATGAGATTCGTGTTCAGCACAACAAACTGAATCTAACAGAGTACAATCAAAAATGTCATGTATCTCACTCTGGAAAAACACCACTTCAAGGCATAAGGTGAGACAACCTATACTTGATGTAAAAGTCGAACGAATCGCATGTGGTTCTAAACATTTGAATAAAAACTATTAACTAGAACTAAACACGTTTTCAAACATCTATTTCTAGATTACACTTGATTTCAATTGTTGTCAAAGTGCTATTCATCTATATATTAAAGCAGAAAGTTTAACTGTTTACGCGAGAAAATCCTTTTTTTCGACGAAAAGCAGAAAATAATATATGAAAAATTCTCAGAAAATTAGGAAGCTTGTACT